ATAAATTATTATAAAGTATTTGACATAAAATTTTACAATTAACTTGAGTAAAATCGAAAAGAAAGTATTGTGTGTAACTTGTGTATCATGGACAATATAAAAAAGTCATATGTTTAAGTTGTAAAATAAATTATATAATGGTAAGATAAATCAAACTTTTACAAAATTTAAGTAAAAATTTTATATAATAGTGATATCACGTCATTATTGACATATTTTTTTTTTGATCGACAAAATAAAACTTTATTGATGAACAAACAAGCACAATGAAACAAGTTAAATACATCAATAAAGGGCATGGGAGTGCAACGCATCACAATGAGCAAATTGATCCCAACTAGGTTGGCACCAAAGAGATCATCCTATCATTTGCTAGCACCCCATAGTTGGTGAGGGACCAACGAAAAGAAAAAACACATAACCAAGGTAGAACAGCCCCCTGAACAACCCAACCATTAGCAGCAACATACGACAGGCAATAAGGCAAGTCTAATAGGGACTAACTAGCTGAGTGTGTTGCTATAGAAAACCAAAGAGACAACAGCAGCCTTGTGTAAAGCCAACTAGATCAGCAATAGCCTTGTGTTAAGACCAAATAGACACTCTGACACCCATATGAAGATTATAGCATACACTACTACCAGACTAGCATACTAGCCAGACCCCCACCAGACGTGCATTACACGCAGCAAAACAGTAGGCAGTCCCACTACAGCCCCAGACAGAAATGCTCTGGCTTGAAGAACCAAGGAACTAAGACATGCACAAGGCAGCACAAAAACTAAATAGTCATATGACAGTAGCGCCCAAGATCACAGCATCATTTGACAGTAGCACCAGCCAATCCATTAGCCTTGAACGCTGCAATCCTTCAAACAGAGAAGAAAACCAGCACAGATCAGCCTGAACTGCATTGCCTTGCAACTACACTCCTTGAATTCCCAATGAACATACTGGCAGCCTTTAGACATTCTTAAAAATCAGAAAAATCAGCCCTTAACATATCAGAAGCCTTCCACAATTAGCAAGCTAGCAGTCAAATTTAAGACCAAAACCAGTACCCAACACTCACACACCAGCGGGGGCATACCAGCAGATTGCTCGGATCAACTTTCTCAGCAGCCTTGTTCTGCCCAGCAGAAGCAAATCAGATTAGCAGCATGCAGGCTTAAACTTGCGCACAGAAGACTATAATGCTACAAGCTAACAAACTCCACAGACATCCATACAAGACCCAGCTTTCAACACAAAGCAGCTCAGACAGTAACGAACATCCTCTGATTTGACGCCAATTGAAATAAACATCAACCGAATAAGGAAGATTTCTAATTGAATGCTTTCAGTGCCAAAGTATTTGCTCTAAGCTTTGATATTTTTTCACTAAAAGCCAGAAGAACTAGGTTGAGCCATCTGCAAAACCACATTCATTCCTAAAGTTTCCAAAGCGGACCAAGAAAATATAAGGGGGATGGCTCTCCAATTACGCTATCAATTTTTTGAGCTTTGACAGTCCAATCCACGCATTGGAGAGATCAATCCACTGAGTCCTTGAATGCACCAAGAGATCCCCACTCATTAATTATAGATGACAAATTAACCAAGGCAAAATGGGCAATGTAGCAAATATGCGACAGCAGAATTTCAGGTCAGAACGACAAAAGGCGAATGAGAGAAGCAGAAGCATCTAAGATGCCAATTTCTGTGCATAAAACTGCTGTCTGATTTTGTTTTCCAAGGCCAGCCAAGTAAAGAATGAAACCTTAGGGGACTGCCCATTCCAAATATGCTTGCAAATGTTAAAATGAGCCTTGGCTAGAGTTAGAGAGGCAGAGTAGAGAAAGGACACGGAAAATACACCAGGACTAGTAGATGCTGAAGCCCAGATAAGATGATCTGCCCTGTCAATTGACAGAGATGGAGCTGAAGATAGTAGACCAAGTAAGTTAGCTTCTTCTTCCAATTCCCAACTGAAAAGCACTCTCCTAGTGGGAAAATTCCAATTGTTTGGGCTAGATTTTCTTGCCATGAATTGTTGTAGAGAACCTTCTTTATCTGTAGAAAGATTAAAGAGAAGGGGAAAAGTAGACTTGAGACTAGAGCTGCCACACCATCTGTCATGCCAAAATTTAATCCTACTCCCATCCCCCACTAGGATTTGGCAGTTATCTATATAGAAATTGTAAATATTTGTGCTATGAATCCCAATAGATAATATGTCCTTCCAAACTCTAGAATGTTTGTAGGAGGACTTTAAAGGTGGATGCCAACTAGCCTCATCAATATTGTATTTGCTACATATAGCTCTCCTCCAAAGAAAGTTTACTTGAGTTCCAAATTTCCACCACCATTTGAGCAATAGACAAGCATTCATATCTCTTATTCTTCTGATACCCAGGCCCCCTTGGTCCAAGCTTTTGGTTACCTCCCCCCATTTCACTAAATGCACTTTCCTTTTAAGATCATTACTGCCCCATAAAAAAGCTGCCTCAATCTTTTCGAATTCTCTTGCCACACCTTCTGGCATCTTAAACAAAGAAAGAAAGTAGACTGGTAAACTAGATAGAGTAGACTTGATTAGGGTTAATCTACCTGCAAAAGATAGTAGTTTCCTCTTCCACCCTGAGAGTTTAGATCTGATCTTGTCAATCACGGGCTTCCAGGTAGATTTTTTACCAGGATTGGCACCTAGAGGCAGTCCCAGAAATTTCAAAGGAAGGCTATGGACTTTGCAGTTAAGAAGATGTGCAAAGGAGAGCAATAAAGTATCAGACACACCGACACCACACACCACGCTTTTGTGGTAATTAATTCTAAGCCCAGATAGAATTTCAAAGCACCTGAGGATTCTTTTGATAAGTACCATTTGATCCCAATCTGCCTCAGAAAAAAGAATTGAGTCATCTGCAAATTGTAGGTGAGACAAGAGGACATCTTTGGATCCGACATGAACACCTCTAAGAATGCCAAGGTTAATTGCTCTGACCAAAAGAATGTTTAACCCCTCAGCCACGATATTGAATAAGAAAGGTGATAACGGATCGCCCTGCCTTAGCCCTCTTTGTGGTGAGAATTCCTTAGTTGGAGCACCATTCACGAGAATGGAAATCCTTACTGTAGACACACAAGTTTTCATCCAAGAGATCCATTTGTTACCAAACCCAAAACTAGATAGCAGAGAGAACAAGAATTCCCAGTTAACCGAATCAAAAGCCTTTTCAAAGTCTAGCTTTAAGTTCAAACCATTCTTGTTGGTCTTCTTCCAACCATCTACCACTTCATTGGCAATGAACACCCCATCAAGGATGTTTCTTCCACCTATGAAAGCAGTTTGAGTTTCACCAATGATTGAAGATAGGGCTGGCTTCAGTCTATGTGTTAACACTTTTGCCAAAATTTTGTACATGGAGCTTACAAGACTAATGGGTCTGTAATCAGATAGGCCGGAGGGATTTTCCAACTTAGGAATTAAACTAATGAAAGTACTATTAATCCCATAAGTCAGTTTGCTATTTGTGTGGAAGTCTGCAAAGAATTGCATGATCTCAGGTTTCATAGTCTTCCAAAATTTCTGATAACACAACAGATTGAAACCATCGGGGCCTGGGGCTTTGTTATTATTACAATCCTTAATTGCAGCCAACACCTCAGCTTCACTGAACTCTGCAACAAGATGGTGAGAAACATAGTCTGCCTCAATGGTGTTGAATGGCCCTCCCAAGACGGGTCTTTTGACCCAATCCTCAGCAAACAACTTCTTGAAGTGTTGGTAGACCTCTAATTGAACCCTGCTAGGATCCTCATAGGACACGTCGTTAACTACTATAGAGCTGATCATGTTTCTACTGTGTCTGGTGTTAGCAAAAACATGGAAGAATCTAGTGTTCTTATCCCCATTTAGGGTCCAGTTCAATCTGGATTTTTGGTGCCAAATCCACTCCACCATTCTGAGCAAATGCCACATTTCACCTCTGACCACTCTTCTTCTTGACCTCCCAGAGTCATCCAAGAGTCCATCCTCTGCTAGGATGTCTAATGTATGCAATTCCGCCTCTAGAGCCTTGAGTTTGGATGTGACATGTCCAAACACTTCAATATTCCATTTTTTTAACTCTGTCTTTAGCTGCTTTAATTTTTGAACAATTCTGAATCCGGCCCACCCTGTAACAGTAGTGCTGCTCCAAATGTTAACAAAGAACTTAGAGAAGCTTGGATGGAGAGTCCAGGCGTTGAGAAACTTGAAAGGCTTGGGACCCCAGTCTCTTTCATCTTCCATCAACAGCAGAGGACAGTGATCAGAAACTAGTCGAGGCAGGCCCCATAACTTCATTCTGAAGCTTATCAACCATTCTGGGCTGAGGAGTATTCTGTCTATGCGGCTCCATTTCTCAGCTTCCTGGGCATTGCACCAAGTGTATTTCCTACCATGAAGAGGTAAGTCATGGAGCTCACATTTCTCAATAAACTCATTAAAATGTTTCATCCCCATGTCTCTCCTGGAGCATCCAACCCTCTCACCTATATGTCTAATTTCATTGAAGTCTCCACCCATGCACCAAGGAGCAGGAAAGTGATCCTTAAGCTTGACTATACCCGCCCAAAAAGATGATCTAGCAGAGGGGTTATTTGGTGCATATATGTTTATCAAAACACAATCAAAGGAATTATACAACGAGCCAGAAAGTAATATATACCTCCTAGTGCAGCAGCAGCCGGATAATTGGAACACTGAAGGGTCCCATATGCATAGAAGTCCACCAGCAGAGCCTACAGGGTCCACAGACATGAAGTCCATATTTCTGCATCCCCAAAGCTTTCTAGCAACATTTTCAGAGTCCACGGCTTGCTTGGTTTCTTGGAAAAAAACAATATCAACATGCTTGTCCTTAAGCAGTCTTTTAATTCTTCCCTTCTTCTCAGATTTACCCAAACCCCTAATGTTCCAAGATAATAGCTTCATAGATAAACAAAATGGCTAGCTCGAGGCTCCCCTGAGCAGAAGCTTATTTCTGATCCTGCCCCTTATCAGAGATTTTGTCCTTGTCTTTAAGCTCTAAATCAATTATCTTGCTCAACACAGTGTCTTCTTTCCCATTGTAGTTGATGCCTAAGCATTTCCCCAAGTGTATAGTGGCTTTGGCCTCCTCAAATAGCTCATTATTCGAAGATGAGCTACCTTCAGATAGATCAGATTGAGCAAAACCAGAAACTGCTGGACTGAAAACAACTGACTTAGAGGAATGCTTGTGAGCTGCTGCAGTTCTATAGCCATGGAATCTAGCAAAGCTGGTAAAGCCCTCTATATGAGCCTTCATCAACCAATAGTAAAGCAATATATGAATGGTGAACTCCACATACAAATATAACTAACACTCTACTAATTTTTACATATATATAGTGAGATTAATTATATATGCATAACAATAATGATGGATATTACCTTTATATTGAGATTTTTTAACAAAATTTTATACATAAAAATATAATTTATTGTAGTCAATTCATTTTTCAATAAAACAATGATTATTGTTTTCATAAATTTAAAAATGCCCTTGACTTTTATTCTAAATATTATTTATACTTAAAATTTTATTTATATACCTATGTAAAAATTAAAAAAAAAAAACAAAAACTCCAAGGGGGAGCATGACCCCGGCCACTATGTGATTCCGCCACTGCGTGTGACCTTCCTAACCAAAGAAAGAATAAAGCTTCGGACTCCCAATGGGGTACTGGGGGTCGCGTGTGATTGGTCAAAAAAAAAAATTATTTTTTTTTTATTTTTTTATTTTAGTTTTCAGCCAATGAGGAGTCGGCACGTCACTGGGGATTGTCAGTGGGGTCACCCCACTGGGGTCAGAAGCATCACTCCCAAAGAAATTACATTTTAGTAGAATCGTTAATGAATTTTCTTAAATTATAATTTTGACGTACAGAAATGACTTGCACAATGTATATGAAAAACTTGTATCATATATACAAAAAAATTGCACCACATAAAAATATAATCAATATGTTTGGTTTTAGTTTTCTCTATTCAATTTTTTAAAAATTTAAGTTTTTTATTTTTTATATTTTTTTGTTTTTAGTAAATATTTTTAAAATTTTAAATATTTTTTTTTACTTTTTAAGATGTACCTTACTTAGATATATCTAAATAGTAAAATATTTTTGAATTTTTAAAAAAATTAATAAATACACAAAAATGCAAAAATTATATTGAATTTTTATTTTTATTTTTTATATTTTTGGTATTTAGTAATTTTTTTAAAGATTTTTTTCATAAATATTATACTTTTTAAGTGTATTTATGTTAAGTGTGTCTAAAAATTAAAAAAATTATTTAAAATATTAAAAAAATCTTTTTTAATTGTATTTGATAAAAAATGCTATTAATTTTCATAAGATTTATTGGATAATAAATTCACTTATTAGGACCTGCACGTAAACCGTCCAAAAATAGCGAACGAACCACCAAAATAATAATAATAATAAACAAATAAATCTTTGCAGGAATGGGAACCCCCACATTTGTCAATTAATTAATTGGTTGTTCTGAAATTTTGAAATAACTGACATTTTTTAAAGAATTATTTTATCTTTAGTATTTTTTTTAAAATTATGTCATTTAATTTTTTTTTGATGTATCTTGTGTAAATTAATATAAAAAGTGATCTTTTAAAAATAATATCAAAATACATACTATTTTTATTTATTTTTATCTTTTCTAGATTTTTTTAAAGTAAAAAAAAAAATCTAATTCGTCTTATCAGGTAGAATCTAAAGGCCTAAAACCGACTCAAGCACATAATCATTCTTAAAAATTAAGTTGATTAGGAACCGTGACCACAAAATCATCAAATCACATTTATTTTCAAAATAATAGACGATTTATTTTTAAAATTATACTACTTATTCATTTATTAAAGATAAATATTATTTGAGCATGCAATTTTGATAGTATTTAAAATATATCTCGTGATTGACTCACCATCTCCCAAGAAAATGGTTGAATTGAATCGCCATAGGATACAATTTTTTTTTTAATTTTAATTTTCTTTTTAATTTTTGCCCCGAGGGTTTTGGTAAAAAAAATTTAATTGGCTTTTTTGAGTTAAATTTTTTTTAGTTTGAGATTAAAAAGTTTGTTTGTATTATTTTTTTAGTTTTATTTTTATTTTTATAAAAGAAAAATAAAATAATTATGATTTAAATATAATATTTTTTTAATTAATTTTTCAACAATACTACATATTCCAAAAAAGCATAACTCCCACAACCCTTACTCACCTGTAATTGGTTCAGGAAGGAAGAAAAAAAAAAATACATGATTAACCCACATCATTTTGAAGTTATACGAATCCCTAATTTTGGAAATCTCAAATATTTTTATTAACTTTTTATACTATTTTATCTTTTAATAATTATTTTAAGTCCAATTAACTTTGCCAAACGATGCCATAGATGGCGGCTGTACCTACAAAGTTGTGACGTCAATTGACCCCACTTGATTTTAAAAGATTATTGAAAAGAAAAATGGTCTGTAACTCAAAAATTGAAGGGCTCAAATGGCTCGAAATTAAAAATTTCTCTGTTCTCTTGATATCTTCCCTCTCCGCCTTTGCAGTCCACTCTATTTTGTAGCTCGAAAGAAATCAGCACCTCTCTCTCACTCTCGCCTCATCCTTCTCTTCTCTCTATCTCTTCACTCTGGCCTTGAAGGAGTACGAAGGAAGACGAGACGGGGGACATGAAGGACGAGGAGACGGTGGACGAACGACGACGGAGGACGACGAACGACAACGGACGACGAACGGGAGCCTGTGACAGCGAATCTGAGGTAAATGAAAAATCGCAAAGTTAGGGTTTTACGTTTGGCTTCAATTTTTTTAGAAATTAGTTGATTGTGAGTGTTTGGGGTTGGATTTTGCTTGCAATTTGTGTTAGGGTTTGGGATTTGGCTTTAATTTGTCATGTTTTAGGGTTTGGGATTTGCCTTTATACATGTTATCAAGAATGAACTCTGTTGTAATAGATATAAAAAAGAGTAGGTTTGGGATTTGGGAATAATGATTCAAGATTTCCAAATTTCCAATGATATTGATGAAAGTTAAAGGTTCTACATTATCACAAAATGTATACTCAAAATAATGTATTTATTTGGCACCTCATATATGGATCTCTCAATGAGCACACAAAGTGAATGGGCACACATAATACCTCTAAACTCAAATAACCCACACATATATTGAAGCTCACATTCAGTTGAATTAAAATACACAACAAATTTCACTTTCTTCATCCCCTCACCCACAACAACAGCCTCCCTCACATGATAGGTACAAATTGCGCACTCCTCTTTGATAAGATTTGCACGACAATACACTAGACACTTCATTTCTAGTTGAACTTCTTTAAATTTTGAATTAGTGTAAGCTGCACGAAATTGCTTCTCCAAACGATACACCATTAAGCAATCATACAATTTGTTACAAGACTTAAAATCTGCTTTTGTCTCCTTCTCTATCTTACTTCTTAACGCATTGTCATACTGCTCAACAAATTGCTTTAAGGTTGTCTTGGAGTTCACATATCCATCAAAGAATGCATTCATACTCTCACTTCGTTGTGTAGTTGACATGCGAGCCCAAAATATGTCTTTAACATATGCAGGAATCCACCTATGTCGGTCATTGTATAATACCCCCAACCACTCGTTATCATTCAAATTGAAATTTTCAATCATTGCTTCCCAGTATTCCTCAAATTCATCTTTTGTGAATGAATCGTAAACTGCATTACTCAGAGCAACCTTTATGGACTCATATTGCGAATATCCTCGCAATTTCTCCGGAATTTTCTTCATAATATGCCATAAACACCAACGATGCCGATCCTGTGGGAAGACAATTTCTATGGCATTTTGCATAGCTCTGCACTGGTCAGTTATTATCGCTTTTAGGGGAGCATCTAACATGCAACTTAACCATTCTTTGAAAATCCAAACAAATGTCTCCGTGTTCTCATTACTTAATAACCCACAACCAAACAAAATTGAGTGACCATGGTGATTAACTCCTACAAACGGAGCAAACGACATATCATATTTGTTTGTCAAATAGGTTGTGTCAAAAGAGACAACATCCCCAAATGCTTTATAAGCCGCCCTACTCCTTATATCTGCCCAAAACAAGTTTCGCATACGACCATCTTCATCAAGGTCAATTGCCGAAAAGAAGTTCGAATTTTGTTGTTGCATTTTATGAAAATAAAATGTAACTGATTTGGCGTCGCCAACCCCAAGTCTCAATCTTCTAGCATTTTGAATATAATTCCTTGCATCTTGTTCATCAAACGTTAATGCCTCATATCCCTCCGCTTCAACAACTATGGAATGAAAATTCCTAGCCACCCTAATCCCTGCTGCATCGTTGACTTCTAATCTCCTCTTCACTGGAGTAAGAATCCTCTTATTCATTGGAAAATGCTGTGAGTCACTCGGAATGAAATCATGAGTGTGCTCAAGCACAACTGTGGTTAACTTATATCTTCCATCTTTTTGTAGAGTGGCTCTAACCCTTGCTTTACAATCTATTTTTGATGACAAAGATGGTTCGAGGGGATTTACTTCTGATCTTTTTGTTCTATTCCGCACCCAAGTACATTCAATTCCAAAGTACTTTACTTCCCCATCCCTTGTTACATTTTGTGTTCTATAAACTATAGCAAATCCAAGTTGTTTCACATATTTTGCATAAAATGTGTGTACTTCTTGCTTGGAGATAAAACACATCCCCTTCTTCGGTTCTTCAACTTCACTACTCTTATTAAATTCAACATTGCTATCTTGTTCTTCAACTTCCTCACTGTAGACACCCCATTTTTGACCGACCTTAAGACTCAGACGTCACCAGTTGAGCGCTCGGTGATATTGCATATCGTGCTCATTCTGAGGTTTCAGAGTCTTGGCTGCGAGCCTTGCCTCCAGACTTCCGGAATCTTTTGTGTCTTGCCTCGGTTTGCGAACCAGGCTCTGTTTTCTTCGTTTTCTCTTCCCGACGGGAGAGAGAGGTCTCGTAGATCATCTCTAAGTGGCCGTAGGCTACATTTCGTGGTTGTAGGTCATTTTTCCCATTTTAGAGCCCGGTTTCTAATTTTTCGGAGCCGACGGCGGTGTGCCTCGGTTCGGGACCACCTAACTACCTCCGTTTGCTTCGATTTTTGGCATGCACCTTATTTCCTCCCTTTTGAGGGACACTGGCATCTGAGAGACCAACTTCGTGGTCGAACGCCACCTCCGGTGCTTAACAGCCCATTTTCAGGGCCCCGGGCCGCGTGTTTCGGTCCCTGAACCTCCGTTTTGCATCCGTTTTGGTTCATTTTTGGTGGAGACCTTATTTTCATAGTTAGGAAGCTTGTAGGAGGGTGGGAGGCCAGCAATTGTTCTGAAAAGCCAGCTTTATTTCTTTATTGCTCTCCGACGCTCGTTTTCCTCACTTGAAAACCAATGTTGACCACCCCGGGGCCACTTTCTTGAACCCTAAACCCCATATTTATGTTGTACACACCTGGGAGGCCACCAATATTTGGTGGCCGACCAGTAATTGTGCTTGACCCTTTTGACGCCCTCTAAAAAATGGTCTTTTCTCTCTCCTGGTTCACTTTTTCTGGGTTTCAACCACATAGTTGTGTTGTGCACACATGGGAGGCCACCTTTTTGAGGTGGCCGACCAGTAATTGTGCTTGACCTTTTTGACCCTTGGTCGGCCGGCCATGAGAGGTGGTCAGCCGGCCCCCTGAACCTTCTGAACTTGGCCGGCCGTGATCCTCTTACCTGGTTACTTACAGCTGCACCCTTTGTTTCCCCCCAGACCCTGTATCCAAGGGGGGGTCTTTTGGGGGGAAAATTTGAATTTGACTTTCCCCCCTTTCCTCCATCCCTTTGCCTATATAACCAGCACCCCCAGCTGCATTTTAGAGGGTTACAAGAATTGGTTTAGAGCTCTTGCATTAAATCTCCCTCTCTCTCTACTCCAAGCACCAAAACACCCTTAATCCTACACCATTTACTCTACACCTCATAGCACAAGGCCTCCATCCTCCATTCCAGCAACTTGAGGCTGCTTTCCAGAGGTGAAGAGCTCCCAAAATTGGTCCAAGAGCTGCTGGTCCATTGGTATACAAGGGCGAGTCCCATTTTTCCTCTTTTGTGCCTTATTTTGCTTTGTACCTAAGCCATACTTGCTAGCATTTTTGGGCTCCAACCCAAACTGTGAATAGTCATATTTTGTGCTCATCTCCATGTTTGATTAAGGGTCTTTCTCTATTTGAGGTCCCCTCCTCACCCTTTGTGTTTAAACTCTCTTTTAGGCCAATTTTTGCATAGTATTTTAGGCCTATTTGTGAGTTATTTTGGACTTTTCCATAAACTGTAAAATAACTTGTTTTGAGCCCCTATTCAACATTGTTGAAGGGCTCTTCTCTGTTTGAGGCCTCCTGCTATCACTTGCTTCTTTATCTCTCTTTTAGGCCAATTTTTGCATAGTATTTTAGGCCTATTTGTGAGCTGTTTTGGACCTTTCCATAAATTGTGAAATGTCTTTTTTTGAGCCTCTATTCAACATTGTTGAAGGGCTCTCCTCTATTTGAGAACAGAAGCCACCACTTGTCTCTTTACCCTTCTTTTAGGCCTTTTCTTGCATGATAGTTTGGCCTTATTTGTGATTATTTTCGTAGCTTGATGTAAACTGTAAAGCGCCTTGTTTTGATCCCCTCTTCAACTTTGTTGAAGGGCTCTTTTCCATTTGGGGCCAGCTGCTGTACCTTTGTGTTTAATCTCTCTTTTAGGGCCATTTTTACATGATAGATTAGCCCTATTTGTGTTCATTTTTGAGACTTTTTATAAACTGGAAATATGCATGTTTTGGGACTGTCTTGCATCTGTCTTCATGCTTCATGATCAAATAATGCATGCTTTGTATAGCTGTAAGTCATTCCATGTGCCTAGTTTCGAATTTCGGGGTTCATTCCATGCATCGGGTGCCATGTTTCCATGTTTCGGGGCTGTTTTGTATCATATTTCAACGCTGAAATTCGCATGTTTGCATATTATGTTCCATGCCTTGCCATGCTTTGGATAGAGTGGCATTTGATGCCTTAGGTTCGGTCCTCGGTTTGCGTGCATGCGTGCGCGTACTTCGAGAGTCTCATTTTCATCTCATGCTACCGATGTGAGTGTGGTTGAGGTCCACTCATGTTGGTGTAAGTCTATTGTGCATTGTGTATGCCATTTCATTTCATAGCATTGCGTATGCTAGGTTGTATGTTAGCGCATTGTGTATGCCATGTTACCTCGCGCATTGTGTATGTCATTTCATAGCATTGTGTATGCTAGGTTGCATGTTAAAATTGCATTCATGCATGTCATGCATATTGCATTGTGCTTGGGATAGGAGTTAGCCCAAGCAAGGGAAACGAGATACGTTTCGTACTCCGAGTGACGGAACGTGTCTCAATTCCCAGTCCCCGACACTCCGGATTACCCATGATGGAGTTTAGGCCTTATTGTGTTTTTATGTGCATTCATTTCATATTGAGTCGTGCAATTCGACTCCTCGGCCATCATGTATCGAGATGCATGATTGGTGGCACGAGGATCGAGGACTACACTCCTTGAAGAGTAGTCATGCATACATATGTGAAAATACTTTGCCATGCCCCTTTGTTGCTCTCTGTTGCAGCGAATAAAAAATCAGCAGCCTTCCGGAGCTTGACACGCATTCCAAGAACAATTGCAAACAGAGGCAAACCGGGGCATCGCGAGGGATTCTCCGCACAAGGCAACCGAAGCATGCATCATTAATCATCCGGAGCAGATTTGAGGCAGTCCCTGGCTTGCATGCCAATTTATTGCTTTCCTAATTTAATTTGTTATTTAATTAGGGTTTTGTACATATTTGGACTGTAATTATTCATTTGGGACTATATTATTTATTCGGACCCTTCGAGCGAGGGCACAATTGTAATAAGTGTGCGTGTATGTGATGTATGTCTTCCAACCCCACGTATTTCTTCTTTTTATTTACCCGCTTATGATGGTTAGATTAGGGCATGTTTCAATTAGCATACAGTATGATAGCATGTTTGCATTCATTCATCTGTCTTGCATGCACCGGGCTCGGCGCATCATACTAACTGCATTGTATTTTCAATTCCAAATTGAATACATGTTAGCTGTAGCATTTCATATGCCATGTCTAGAATAGCCGAGCCTGCTATAGTTGCACTCTTGCATGTGTTGCATTAGACATTTCTGTATAATTAGGATCATGCATGCATTTCTAATTAGCTTCTGTTTTGGCTTGGAGTACTCGGTAAGTTTTATGCTTTAGCATCCTTGCATGTGTGTGAGTGACTGCCATGATAGCATGCTTACCATGAGGCTATATGCTTATGTGATATAACTGCCTAAATGCTTGTGGGTGAAGGTTGGGTTATTTGGATTGGAACAATTCGTTGACTGTGAGTTTTTTTTAAGCCCACTAGATAGTGGCAAAATCATATTTTTTCTAAGCCCACCCGAGAGTGGCAAATCCACGTTTTAGCCTACTTGCGGGTAGCACCATCAAACCATTTTCAAATAAACAAACATGAAATGTTTTGTTCTAATTCAGGCGACCTAGTCTACACTTGTATGCTGTGCGCATCACATAGTAATCTAGGCTAATAACCGGAATAAGAACACATAATGTTTCCAAAAATAGATATCATGGTTAATAGAGGCCGATCTTTGATCTGGCGAGCGGGGGTGCTCACGAAGTGACCTTCCCTAATCGTACCCAAGTTCCCGAGCCGAGGTAACTTTGGTGATGACGGACACGTGGTCTTAGGCAAACGAGTTAGGGTTTCCTAAATTTCCCTAAAATAAAATATTTAGGTGGCGACTCTGTATCTGGCAAAGCAGTCCATGTTTGGCACTTCTTTCAAAAACTGTTTTCTCAAAACGATTTGTTGGATTTGGACTCTTTGGTTCAGATTTAGAACCGTGACAATTTGAGAGTCCGAACTGTAGTGAGCCCAATACGAACAGAATGGGACTCATCCTCCTGGGGCGTTCGGGGACGTCTACAGTTTCTGGCGACTCCGCTGGGGAGTTTAGAGAACTTGACTTGAACTCATGATATCTTGTTTTGACTACACTTGTGTGTTTCTTTGCATTGCATGTGCATTGGTGCGCTTAGGACACCGTGTTTGCCATCTGCTATTCCTAAACGGTTTACCGGAGGCTTGTCTTGTCAAGGCATGACCATAAGGCTGACCGGTTATGGGCTCTGCCAGTATGGGAACACAAACCCCGATTTTACCGAGGCACCCTTTTTTACCATTCGACCTAGTGTATATTTGGATCCATAGTGACCATTCCAAACTAGGACAGGTTGCTTACCCGATATAGGTTGTTTGAAACCGCTGCGTGCGTAG